CGTTATTTTTTTTTTCACCATACATCGTCCTTTCCATTTACAGGACCATGTTTTTTGAATGCTTGAGATAATGAAAACTATAAGATATTAAAATTCTAATACTCTGAACTGTATCTTTGACTCGATATAATGTGAGATAATAAATGTCGCAGATTCAATTTTTTGTTGTTTTAGTTAGATTGTATCAAAATAATTCATTCTAATTTTAACAGGTAGAAAATTCTGTGTAAATTTCGTTTGTATTCTTTTTGACAATTTGACTTTTTAAATACTCTCGTAAATTCTAAATACTACATTCATTAAAGTATCAAGTTGTCGAAATCAAAATTTGATAATATTGAATTTTAATTTTTCATACAATTAGATTAGATTTTAAGTAGTTAAAAGGATACAAGTTTCTGATATATATATACATATATATTTAATGATTTGATATACTATTTAAATAGCAAATGCACTAATACTCTTTTGCTTTGTTTCTAATAAGTGTTATCATCTTTTTAATTATCAAAAAAACTTAGTAGCATTCTGATTTATCCCAAAACTTAGCATTTTCGATGAATTATGTATCTCGGCCTTCTCCTTCTTGTCTTATATTATAGTCATTGATTATTGTTCGAAAATTTTTTATTTATCTATTCTTTCAAACAACACGTTAAAGAATATGTTTATAAATTTCATTTCCATAAATAAGTAACTACCAACGATCATCAATAAATGATGTTAAATAAAGTATAAAATTAATATTTTGATGTTCTTTTAATCGTAATAGTGAAGGAATAATTCGAATTGCAACATATATGTGTTAAATCCATTGGATAAAGAACAAAACGAAATTGATCGTTTTTATTTTTAATAACAAGACCAAGTTGTGAACCAGATAGATTAACACGAACACATTGAATATCTAAAATAGTAATAATCAAAATATGATTTATTTATATTTTATCAGCATCATCTTTATTAACTAAGTTTTCTTTTGACAAAATTTTTATTAAATTCTATTTTGTTAATGAAACATATTGTCATATAATTCTTTTTGAATCATGACAACAAACAAAAAAACTTTTATCTTGTACAACATAAGTCAAAGAAATAAGATGATTTGATTGAGTACCATGAATTTTTTTAATCGTAGTATTTATATCTTATTAAATTATTCAAAAAAAAACAATAAAAATAAAAAACTAATGACTTACTAAAGTACCATTAACATTGTATAAGATAAGTTCATCTTTATCATATATAAGAATATCATCTCGTTTTGAATGACATGCCATAGCACAACAAGTTGATGAAAAACTATACAATTGTACAGATGCAGTTCACGATAATGAGTGACGAACTGTTGAATAAAACGTAGGTGTATCAAGTATATTTGTTGAAGGACATCTTTTAAGATCATAAATTGAACCTGTTGTATTTTTGATCTAAAATCAAATAGGTAATAATCGATTAGACTGAAAAGATCAAATCAAACTTGAATAGATGTTGATAAATATGTTTATAAATGACTAAGAGAAAGATCAAATAATCTATTTTATCTGTATATGTTGAACATGTAAACGAATATCCTCTGCTATTGAATTTTATCGAATTATATCTCTGTTATACAAGGTTTATTTCAATTCGCCGATGGACCTAAAAAAAGACGTATCATTTAAGATCTTATCAGTTGCTTTATACTTACAACGAAGAGTAAAAACTTTTAATTGATGTGGCATTGTTGTTTTGGTAAAGTACAACTTTCTATTTCATTCATAAGTTATAGTACTATTAAATTTATTTTCAATAGTACATGTAATTGAAAAATTTCGACGTAAACCATCGTCGTACAGACACAACAACGCCAATAGATAGGAATGTGATGTCTTTTTTAACCTAGTCTGGTGTCTCTTGATCAGGTGTGGCTCCATAGATGTGGACAACATGATGTGGGACACTCATCTGAAATGCAAGATTATCAAAAGATGACACATTATTTTCCAGGTGAATTATTTCTATATGTTCGTTTACAATCATTATATGGTGAATATTCTTTTGAGTATGAAATTTTTATTCGAATTTCTCAATCATTTCCACTATGATTTATCATCAATTACAAAAACATAAACAACTTTATAAATCAATCAATCATAATGAAAATTCATCAATTGTTAAATATAATTATCTTATTACAGTTGACATTTCAAAAGTTAATGATAATTATAAAGAAGAATTTTTATTTAATACAAAAACATATTTTCATACTAATATTC